CTTGGTCTTTCTCTGTGTGTGTGTGTGTGTGTGTGTGTGTGTGTGTGTGTGTGTGTGTGTGTGTGTGTGTGTGTTGTAACTTAATGGAAATCAGCTCAAATATACAGTGGTCAAATTTGCTGTTGTATTTAAGGCGTCGAATATTACCATAACGCAATGAAATTACACTTAAATTAAGGTAGGAGATGTTAGATTCGTAATTATGTTATTTTTTACATCATAAGTGAGTTCTCTCTTATAGTTTTTAATTGTTGATGACCGAGAGTAATTACTAAACTACATTACAAGCTTAAAGACCTTAGTTGTTGAAGCGCGTTAATGACAATATGATCTTAATTATCACATAAGAGAAATATATGCCATTTAAAATCACTTGGTAAATAATCATTTTTTCTCGAGCACTACAGCACCAGACAGCGCCATTGAACAGCAAAAAAAAACAATAAAAACACTAGCAATACACACCAGATGGCAACACTCCCAGCGGCGGTCAGTGGGTAGCGAGCCTAAACCTAATTGTATCACCAGAGGATTGTTTTAACCCCACCCAGTCCTATTGCGAGGAGAAAGAAAAGTAAATAAGATGGTCGAACGAAACAAAAAGAACTGTGCAATTAAGTAGAGAAACAGGAAATAAAAGGAATCGTTCAACTACTGAGGAAGGAAAGATATTTTTATTTTTCTGCGTCATTGTTGAAAATTGAGTGGAAATGTGTTTTTTTAATTAAGGCGAAGAAATTATTATTATTATTATTATTATTATTATTATTATTATTATTATTATTATTATTATTATTATTATTATTATGAGTGTAATTTATTATTATTATTATAAATATTACCCACAATCATCTTGGCTTTTATTGTACGATATAACAATAATAATTAACGTTTCGTCATGGCACTATACAATAACTACATTAGTGCAAATAAAACAGATTAATACGGAGCTAGTCGTGTAAATAAGGTTAAATAAGAGAATTGCATAGTACCGTAGTAATGAATATGCAAAAGGCCTTACGATGAATATTCCTGGTAACTGGTGATGGAGGAATATATTAACTAGTTAAATTAAGTTAAAACATATTAAAAAAACTATCAAATATAACATCAGTGGTTAAAGAACGGGAAGATATAAACCGAACAGTGTTGTGTTAGTGACTGGTATTAGGAGGATATATAGTCAGTAGGATTACAACAATAGGAGAAGTAGGAGGTTGGTAGAGGGAGCAAGGAGCCATGGGAGGTTGGTGAGGCAGTGTCGGAGTCCTTAGTGTCTTGAGAGGAGTCCTTAGAAGTGGACGAGAAAGTCATTAGGAGACAAGATTAATGTTTTGAATTTGTGAATCACCCGAGGATTAAACACCCTAACGCTACCTAGGGGGGGGGGGTATGTTATGTTTTGTTACGTTTGATTTGGTTAGGTTTAGGTTAGGTTAGGTTAGGTTAGGTTAGGTTAGGTTAGGTTAGGTTAGTTTATCTTAGTTTATCTTCAGGTAAAATAAATTAGGAGGCTAATTTTCACGTGATCCAAATGTTAGGAGAAATTCTGAAATAAATAATCTTGGTGAATGAATGTATCTAGTTGAGTTAGAGTCTTCTCGTGTTATATTGGCCGCTGTTTTAGTGTTTTAACTAAAGCCAAACAGTTACATGTATTCTTATATCATCAGTTAACGGGAATATCTTCATGGGAACGAACCTCTGAGAAACTGAACCGAGCTTTTGTGGCATTTATGGGACCATCGCTTTAACCTGCCTCCATCAACACTATATACAGTATTAGGGGTCAGGTCCATCTGTTGGGGAACATAAAGGGGATTATTATTACACCCCTTCATCACCATACATCTGTAATGCTGGCTACTTAACTTCCATTCATCGTGTGAAATAACTCCCAACTTTCTCACTACTTAGAACGAACCTTTTCTCTCTCTCTCTCTCTCTCTCTCTCTCTCTCTCTCTCTCTCTCTCTCTCTCTCTCTCTCTCTTTCACTCTCTGTCTTGATTTGATTTTCAGTTCCAGAATGTATGTGTTATTACTTCATACTTTGAAAGTTAGCCAGTTAGAACTTTTCAAGAGAGTTTCAAGGTATCAAAGAAATGAGAGTAAAATTAGTGAGTCAACATCATGATGTGAGGGGAGGGAGGGTTGCCTGGCCGCAGTGGCTCAGTGTGGCTCCAACCTTCGGAGGGTGAGCATATAACACCGTCCCCTCAGCTCCTACCAGTTGCTCCCACACGCCGGGTAGCCTTGCGGATACAACCTGTAAACCTATTAGAACTTTTGAATTTTGGAAAATCTTGCTGATTTAATTCATTCAGTGTAAAAGTGGCGACCATAAAAGAAAGTTATAGCTCTTTTGTCACTTTTTTTTCTGTACTATTGTTTAAAAGACGCAAAGTTCCCCTCAAGATTGTGAAGTGAATAAAAGCGTAAAATAGAATAATGCTTAAGTGGCTGTCATTTTCTTTTCATAGAAGAAATATATAATATGAAACTTTTTTAATTTTAAGAAGCTTATACAAAATTCTTATTAATACCTCATTCCATAAAAACTGACATTTAAAACGTTTAAAAATAGATCAATTATAATTGGACGACATGAAGAACGGATATGTAGTTATGGAGTTAAATTAATTATCTTATAAACTTCATAATTAATAACATGCAATTAGAAATCAGGTGACCTTCGTAGCACTTAATTACCTACTAAGAATCAGCCACTAATTAAGTCACTTTACTGCTATTATGAGTAAATGGTAAATGACATAACTATATGGCAATTCTATGTAATTGTTCAGTGTTGTAGTCCAAGAGTCTCAAAGGTGTGGGTCATGTTCAGAGACCTTCCTTCGTTCATATTTGATGCTGTTGGTCAGACAGTTTGGCTTTAAGTTTTTAGTTTTATGTTACTTTTGGTGGTAGCTATCGTTATAAGTTGTTATTGTTATCATTTATGGATGTGTTAGGAAAATTACATATCTTTAACACGATAATAATAATAATAATAAATAATAAGACCTTTTAATTGAGGAACATACAATTACCTTGGTGGACAAACCTAATGAGAAATACCTTTTATCACTACAAACGGATAACTTAATAAATGCGTCAGTATATCGTCCCCAGCAATTAGTATCATTAACTTGTACTCTAACCAGGAGAAAAATTAAACTTTCTTAAACCATCGAAAATGTTGTCTGGCGTAAAAACTAAACCATGAGGTTGATGTGTTAATGACCCTCTTGGTAGCCACACGAGCTACTCTACGCTAACAGAAAACTCACAGACAATTGTAAACATTTCTCTTGATGTTTAAAGCGTTTACCTGTAGCCGAAAGATAATACCTTAAACACGGTGCTTAATAACCCTCGTAGTTAAATCACTCATAAACAAAAACAAACTATTAACTGGTACAATATATCGTCATTAATAAAACACACATACAAACAACAACAGTTAAAAACGCTGTGTAGTTCTGAGTATTGTGGGACAAAATTGCCATTTCATTCACCCACCAGCAATCACAGAGTTGTTTAGTGTGATTACTTTCATTCATTTATAATTACCGCCAGTTAGAGATGTGAACTATGTCATATTAACACTCATTAGGTCTACTGATGACGTCATTGATGTCAAGGCTAATTAAGCCTAGTGATGACGTCATTAATACTAACACTCACTGATTTAAGTAAAGTTGAGAATTAAAAGTTTTAGAACTATTAAAGCTAATTCCTTTAATTACACATTACTTCTTCCCCCAATATTCCTCGCTCTCATAGCACCAGTGTCAGTGGCAGTAATTGAGTGAAGTTATTTGTATTTTGGCGATAACCTCAGTTAATTATCCGTGACCTTCTTTAACCCGGTTGGGGGTCATATACAGTAGTTTGAACTATGTAAAACCTCATTACCGTTAGTATTACTGTGACCTAAGAGTACCTGTGACCTCTACTAGTGACCTGGGATTACCTTTGGCCTCGCGTTGTGACTTGGGATTACCTTTGGCCTCGGGTTGTGACCTGGGATTTCCTGTGACCTCGCTTTGTGACCTGGGAATACCTGTGGCCTCGCGTTGTAACCTGGGATTATCTGTGACCTCTCCTAGTGACCTGCGATTAGCTGTGCGAACTTAGGATTACACGAGGCCTCTCCTGGTGACCTAGGATTACTTGAGGCCCTCTCCTGGTGACCTGGGATTACACGAGGCCTCTCCTGGTGACCTGGAATTACCTGAGGCCCTTTCCTGGTGACCTAGGGTTACCTGAGGCCCTCTCCTGGTGACCTGGGATTACCTGAGTCCCCTCCTAGTAACCTGGGATTACCTGAGGCCTCTCCTAGTAACCTGGGACTACCTGAAGAAGATGTGGAGGCTGGCAGTAGCGAGTGTCGTGTTGGCCCTGACCGCCGGTATGGAGATTAAGAGAAGTTAGTGCCGAGTTTATTACTGTATCTCTCTATTCCCTATATTTATCTCAATATCTCTGTCTATATATCTATCTCCCTATCTCTATCTCCCCATTTCTGTCTCTTATCTCCCTATTTCTATCTCTTTATGTGTATGCATGAATGTTTGTCAGTCTGTGTACGTGGATGTTTATTTGTCTTTCCGTGAGTGTGAATGCTTATCTGTGTGTGTGTGTGTGTGTGTGTGTGTGTGTTCTCCATTGTTAGCCTTAGATCAGGAGCTTCTCTTACTGGCCACTCAGAGGACGTAACATATTGACCAATTAGACTGCTTGATTTATTAGCCATTCAGAGAGCTTGACATACTGGCCACTAACGAGCAAGACACATTGTTCGCTAAAAGAGAGTGGTTTATAGGCCACTCAGAGAGCATTCAGTCATTACACCACTCAGAGTTTGGCTCACTGGCTACTCAAACTGGTTGGTTAGAAGGCTTTTACTAATGAGCCACTCAGGGGGATGAATTACTGGCCACTCAGAGAGCATAGCTTATTAGGCCACTCATGGTGTATTTATGAGGTAGCATCACTACAGCATCTGTCCACGGTTGCTAGTTAGTTTATTCTTCATGTTGAGGTGTAGTTTATTCTCCCTTATGACATGTAGTTTATTCTCCCTTATGACATGTAGTTTATTCTCCCTGTTGAGGTGTAGTTTATTCTCCCTTATGACATGTAGTTTATTCTCCCTGTTGAGGTGTAGTTTATTCTTCCTGTTGACATGTAGTTTATTCTTCCTGTTGACATGTAGTTTATTCTCCTTGTTGACATGTAGTTTATTCTCCCTGTTGAGGTGTAGTTTATTCTTCCTGTTGACATGTAGTTTATTCTTCCTGTTGACAAGTAGTTTATTCTCCCTGTTGAGGTGTAGTTTATTCTTCCTGTTGACATGTAGTTTATTCTCCCTGTTGAGGTGTAGTTTATTCTTCCTGTTGACATGTAGTTTATTCTTCCTGTTGACATGTAGTTTATTCTCCCTGTTGAGGTGTAGTTTATTCTTCCTGTTGACATGTAGTTTATTCTTCCTGTTGACATGTAGTTTATTCTCCCTGTTGAGGTGTAGTTTATTCTTCCTGTTGACATGTAGTTTATTCTCCCTCTTGAGGTGTAGTTTATTCTCCCTGTTGACATGTAGTTTATTCTCCCTGTTGACGTGTGGTTTATTCTCCCTGTTGAGGTGTAGTTTATTCTCCCTGTTTAGGTGTAGTTTATTCTCCCTGTTGAGGTGTAGTTTATTCTCCCTGTTGACGTGTAGTTTATTCTCCCTGTTTAGGTGTAGTTTATTCTCCCTGTTGAGGTGTATATCTTTTTTGCGGATCATTTTTCTTCATACTTTGACTCTGTTAACATGAAATGAGGAGTGAATGGATGAGTGGAATTTTTAGCTGAATTTGAAATGGAGTGTGTGCGTGTGTGTTAAATTGTATTAGTAATATCTATAATACTGTATCCATGTTTTTGTTAACGTCGATGATATATCAGTTTAAATACAGAGGAACCGATACGATCCACAGTATATACAGTATTTATTATTTACAGCATTGAACCTGAAGTATGTGTGTGTACAATTACAATGTATATTACTATCTCTTGCTCTATGACTGTTGTTGTTGTATCTGGAGGTTTACGTGATGCAGTTAACATTAAGCGCTGTTTATTTGAGCTAATTCATACAATATGCAACTTTTATACGTCAAATATATTGGAATTATGTGTATGTGTCTGTCTACCGTATGCAGGTGTGTCTACGGCCGGTGTTTATGAAGCAGGGCTCGTGAGTGTAAAGTCCATCTGTAACATGCGACTTTTAAAACAAAATCATGTGGGTGTTCTTGTTGTTTTTGTGTCTATAGGTGCGTTTATATTTTGTATCTTTTGTTGTTGTTTTGTTATTGGAGTGTGTTCATTTTGTTCTGTTGTTTTAATGAATCTGAGTGTGTTTATAATTTGTTTGTTTTTTCGGTTGTTTTAATGTTTTTGAGTGCGTTCATAATTTGTTATTTTGTGTATTTGCGTGCGTTTTTTTTTCTCGTGACATTTTGATATATTTGAATTCTTCTTATAATGTATTTTAGTGTGTCATAAATGTCTTTGCTTTTTGTAGTTATTGGTGTTACTGTTTTATTATTGTTGTTGTTTTGATATGCTTGAATGCGTGAATAACTGAATCTTTCTAGCACAGTTCACAACCTTTTAGTTTTTATCACTGAACACAAACCATTGAAAATCCTAACTCATCGATGTTATAATATTTTACTACGCGTCATAAATTAAGATCTTTGGCCACAAACAGGTAAAGATTAAAGGAGATTTATATGATTTTTTGTTTTTCAATTTTTTTCAGTTTCTCTTCAATTTTATTACTTATATAAATATGCTGTTTATCTATTTTGGTTCTACGTTACGGAAATTATGGTTTTTATATAATTAACTAAGTATAAATGTGAAAGCTTTGATATATATATATATATATATATATATATATATATATATATATATATATATATATATATATATATATATATATATATTTATTTATGATCTTTAAAAGATATTTTATACGACTATGTGGGAAAGATTCTCTGTCTGTCTCTTGAATTACTTTTGAATCTTTCTCTCAGTCTCTGGTTCGATTTATCCTTAATGAATAGGGGTTCAGCCACTCTATTTTGGGCTTTAACCACTTTACTGTAACCTTAAACCATCCGATTTTGGGCTCAAGCCACTCTAATTTGCGTTAAGGTACTACACTTTACGTCAAGCCACCCCACTTTCCTCCAAGCCACCCCACTTTACGTCAAGCCACCCACTTTACGTCATGCCACTCCACTGTAAACTCAAGCCACCCCATTTGAAAGTCCATCTCGCTGATTATGCATCAAATTGTACAATCTAGGTGACAATCTTACAATAACCAAGCTACATCACAACCACTACTATTAATCACACTAAAACAATCTTTGAATCCTGATTTTATTTTTCTGGTCTATTGATATACTTTCTCGGCGAAATTATAGTAGTCATATATTGAACTTAAATCAGCAACTATGATATATTCAGTAAAATAATGTTGGTATACCGTTAGTAAATATTGTAATAATGTTTGCTAACCAGTTCGTAATATAGGAGATTTCATTTTCAAATACATCCTTGTGTGTGTTTATTTGTAATCTAGAGTCGCGTCATGTACCCACAATGGATAAAAAAAATGGTTTCAAAAGCTCCAGGAACCATCATCTGTCATCTGGAATTAAAAAGTCTAAGAGACGTCAACGCTGTTCTCAACCGGTACAAGTTTTGGGTCTGGCGTCTTGCCTTAAACATTTATCTTATGAGTAATATTTTTTTATATATTAACCTCAGTAATTATCTAGAGTAGTGGTGAGCATTATGATATCATTGACCTGTTGTGGTGAGTATTATGGTATTGATTTGTCGTGATGAGTGTTATGATATCATTGATTTGTTGTGATGAATATTATGGTGTTGATTTGTTGTGATGAGTATTATGGTGTTGATTTGTTGTGATGAGTATTATGGTGTTGATTTGTTGTGATGAGTATTATGGTGTTGATTTGTTGTGATGAGTATTATGGTGTTGATTTGTTGTGATGAGATTATGGTGTTGATTTGTTGTGATGAGTATTATGGTGTTGATTTGTTGTGATGAGTATTATGGTGTTGATTTGTTGTGATGAGAATTATGATATCATTGATTTGTTGTGATGAGTATTATGATATCATTGATTTGTTGTGATGAGTATTATGATATCATTGATTTGTTGTGATGAATGTTATGATTTATATGATTGCCGTTCTGGTTCACAGCTTCTTAGTCATTTATGATTTTCAGTATAGTTGTGTGTCCATGTTGTGTTGTATTGGATCAATTTTAAGTAATCCGTTGAAGAAATAATTAGGTTAGACTCTCCATCCGTTAATCAAAGTGGCATAATCAGGTCTTGGGGTTGGCGATCACGTCCCTCCACTCTAAACGCTTTCAGGTTATTTTGACTGATTTTGAATAGGCTGACTCACCGTACTACTACTACGACTACTACTACTACTACTAATAATAATAATACTTCTACTACTATACTACTACTACTAATAATAATAATAATAGACTCCCCTGCTCTTTATTCACTCTTAAAAGACAGTAATTACACATAGCAGTTACCGTTGTGATGACTACTATAATTTGTATATAAGGTTCGAAAACATCATTAGCGTAGTAATTAGTGACGTGACTGGTGTTCCTTACCGTTGATTACCTGGTGATAATATTATCTGTCTTGACAACCGCGGCTATTGTGACTTATGGCATGTAATTTGAATGTGTATTTTAAGGGAGATAATTAATTTTGTTACATATTTTTATTTATTTTTCATTTATTTATTTATTTTTATTATATGGTGGGTTCAGCTCTCAGTCTGTTTTTACCAGAGTGTAAAATTAACATAATTAATATTTACTAAGTGATCATTTATGGGAGTAGGTGAGAGTTAATGAATCTTAATTTAACCCAACCATAACTTAATTAGACCCTGACTTAACTAAACCAAGGGTTAACCAAATCCTAACTTATCCAAACTAGCTACGTTAGATTAAAATAGGCTTTGGTTTAGTTAGGTTTAGGATATAATTACAATAGGTTAAGGATAAGATAGGCTAAATTAGATTAGGATAAATTATATTAGATTAGATTAAATTAGGTTGAATATGTAATCTATGAAGAACGGTGTAGTTTATTGTATCGGAGAATTCTGAACACGTATGTCCTGTTCATTCTAACACCATTTAGTGTCACACCATTTGTACCAGTGTTATTCTATACCTTGTACCCAGCGATGACAAATTGAGATCTGGACACTTGATTTTGTGACCATTTTCTTTATTTCTTCTTATTTTTGTTTTTACTTTCAGTGTTTATTTCATGTTTATTATCGTTATCTTATATGTCATTCTCTACATCGGTAGTGGAAGTAAAGGGATTGTTTTTAAGCGTGGGATATACAGTATATGTAAGTAATTAAAACAGATAAATAGAAATAGTGTCGAAATTCCTCTCTCTCTCTCTCTCTCCCTCCAAAAATATTTCCTCTTCTCTCACAAAATACACCCATCTCCACCCCACCATTTTTTACGCCAGAGTGAAAAATAAATTCGCGTAGGAGAGGCGTAAGTTAGCATTAGTTTAACAGACACACACACACACACACATGCAAATACCTGGGGTAAGTTTATCTTTGACGAAGGATTCTCAAAAAAGTTCCTAAGTTTATTTATTTTTTCTCTAAAGGATGTAATGGAATTATATTTTAACTGGTTTACGTAAATTAAGATACCAAGATGAATACTCAAAGGTTCGTATGTTAATTTTTCCATCTTCTTAGCTGGTGAAGTGAGATGAATTTAATAGGTTTATCTTTTAACCTATTTTTTCACTCTTTTAAATTCATCCACATTATCTTACGTTCTTTCTTATTCTCCCATACTCACCTACACTGATCCTCACTCTTCCTCTCTCTCCCACGCCCTCCCATACTCTCACACACTGATCCTCACCCACCCACGCCCTCCCATACTCTCACACACTGATCCTCTCTCTCCCACGCCCTCCCACAGTCCCCCACTCTCCCCGCCCTCCCACTCCCACACTGATCCCACTCTTCCTCTCTCTCCCACGCCCTCCCCATACTCTCCCACTTCGTCTCTCCCCGCCCTCCCATACTCTACACACTGATCCTCTCTCTCCGCCCTCCCATACTCTCCCACTGATCCCCCACTCTTCCTCTCTCCCACGCCCTCCCATACTCCCACACTGATCCCCCCTCCTCCCACGCCCTCCCCATACTCTCCCACACTGATCCCCCTCTTCCCCACTCTCCCCGCCTCCCATACTCTCACACTGATCCCCACTCTCCCGCCCTCCCATACTCTCCCAGTCCTCTTCCTCTCTCCCGCCCTCCCATACTCTCACACACTGATCCTCACTCTTCCTCACTCTCCCACGCCCTCCCATACTCTCCCACACTGATCCTCACTCTTTCCCCTCCCTCTCCCGCCCTCCCACTCTCCCACACACATCCCCTCTTCCTCTCTCTCCGCCCTCCCTTCTCTCCCCACACTGATCCTCACTCTTCCTCACTCTCCCCGCCCTCCCCATACTCTCCCACTGATCCTCACTCCTTCCTCCTCTCCCACACTGTCCTCACTCTCCCGCCCTCCCATACTCTCCCACACTGTCCTCACCCACCCCGCCCTCCCCTACTCTCACACACTGATCCTCTCTGTCCCCGGCCTCCCTACTCTCCCAC